GCTAAGTGCACCGGGGGGTAGAATGCACTTATGTGTAAGTATGCAACTTTTGTTTGCTGAAAACTCCATTAACCAGTCATTACACCATGAACTGAGGGAACGTAGATCAGAGCTAATATTCTCAATTGTATTAATCAGGTTGTTGTGTTCAAACGTATAAAACAATTTTATTTCGTCCGCAAACAAAAGGGGTGTCCCATGATGGACCACGGTGAGAATACCATGGACATACATAAGGAATAATAGAGGGCCCAGCACGCTACCTTGTATTACTCCACTGGTCACTGGTTTAGGTTGCGACAGTGTCCCGTTAATGCTAACCACCTGGTTACGAGAATCCAAGTAGGAATCTAACCACGAATAAAGGGGATCTACAATACCATAAGACTTGACCTTTGATAGTAACCGATAGTGAGAAACCCGGTCAAAGGCCTTTGTCATATCCAGGTAAATTGCAATCATTGATTTCCCACTATTGACAGCGATCGTCACCAGATTAAGAAAGTCGGTCATGCAGGTTGCGCACGAGCGACTTTTCAAAACTCCATGTTGGTCTTTACCAATAAGGTTCTTCTAGATTCTTCTAAACAAGGGAGAGCGAGTGGAAGTGTGCCATCTTTACTTCCAAAAGGCCTTCAATTCAGTGAATCCTAGGCTACTCGCTCGAAAACTGAAGGCATTTCGGATAACGCCTAGAGCAGAACGTTGGGTAGTGTCAAGCCTGAAGGGGAGACAACTCCAGTTAAGAGTGGACGAAGCCCTGTCATCGAGAGGAGGATTGAAGAGTGGAGTGCCCCAAAGTCCTGTGCTGGGACCACTGTTATTCGCGTTGTTCGTCAACGATCTACCGAACGGACTGGAGAATCCGTGCTTTAAGTTTGCGGCTGACACCAAGATTTTCGGGGTAGTAAAGGACAACAGAGTGCAAAGAGATTTAGATCAGGTGTATCAGTGGTCGTTGGCGTGGGATCTCCCTCTCAATGTAGCAAAATACTAGCATCTCGTTGAGGAGAGAAAGCCAAGGCCCATTCGCTATGTGGGCCCTACGGGAGACAGAAGGGAATTGAAGAGAGCAACTGAAGCTAGAGATCTGGGAGTGATAATGGGGTCGGACTTCAGGCCGAGTTAACAGTGCCATCACGCTGCACGGAAATCCACGCGGGCGCTATACCGACTGAAAAGAGCGGTATGTTCGAGAAAGCCTAGTGTTCTCTTACCGCTGTACAAGGAGTTTGTCCGGCCACACCTGGAATATTGCGTCCAAGCGTGGAGGCCCAAGTTGGTGAGGGACAGCAGACCCATCGAACAGATACAGCGTGGCTTCACCAGCCGATTTGGTCACTATAGAGGGATATAGTATAACCAGAGATTGCAGGAGCTGGAGTTGTTCTCTTTCAAGAGGAGAAGTAGAAGAGGCTACCTAATAGAAGCATTCTAGATAATGAAAGGCTTTAGGCGGATAGAGGACGCCAATGAGCTCATTTTTAGGATGCGAGATAGAGAAAACCTTAGAGGACACGCTCTGAGAATGAAGAAAAAAAGACCCAGACTGGGGATCAGAAGTCACTCCTTTGTAGTAAGTGATTAATGACTGGAATAAGCTTCCGAGTGAAGTAATTAAAGTCGACACGGTAACGCAGTTCAAGCTGCAGCTTGAAAGAACGTGAGGTAACATATTTGGCGAGGAATGAAGAATACACTATAAAAGTTGTATCACGGTGACTGAATTAAGGGTGTTTTCTTTTTGCACTGCACTAAACCCTTATTATTTTAGTTTTGTATGCTTCCATGTTTGTAACAAAAGCTTACATGGAGCACGATAACAGAGAATCTACGATTTCCTGAAGACTTTACTGTCGTGAAGTCGCAGCATTGGGGGGTCTAAGAGCCAACCAGGGCAAGAAACTGGACAATTTGGCATCTCGCCGTCAAGTACTGAATCCCTGAACTGAAATGAACTTACCTCGCAGTTTGAATTTTTGAAGTACTATAACAAAAGTGAAACTTTTGCTATTTTAGTGAAATAACGTACGTCATTTAAAGCCTCTATGCGTACCAAGGTATTCCCGAGGTACAACTGTCAATAGGAAAATATCACTTCTTCTGCGAGTTTCATTAAGACGACCGTTTTCTCGGTTTTTTTTTCAGAGTAACGTTATTCTCAAGCGTATTTATATTTTTTGTTTGTCTCACACAGAGACAGCTAGTTTATACGCGGGTAAAAATTTTCATTCTTTCATTCGCTTTTTGTGGTATTGATAGTATCTATTTGAGCTATGTCGCTCGCGTCCGACAGCTGCTTGTCCTCTAGCTGCGGTTGAAGAGTAGCGCGAGATATACAGTGCGAACTCTGCGAAAGATGGACTTATTGAAAAAGCTCAGGGATGCCCAGCGAACTATATGCGCTCTACATGTGGGTCGAGTGGGTTTGATGCCATACAAGAATGTCGTACGAACAGCGAACCGTGGGAGCCTAAAACACGCGCAGCGTTCCGGGACACCTGAAATCGGCCAGCATCCGAGCGCCCCAGAGCACGCTCGATTGCAAGGAGATGGTCGTATGCCGAAGCAGCTGCTACTGCAACCAAGAAAGTAGTAGGAAACGGTGAATTGAACTCAGGAGAGGACCGTGCATTAGCTACCCCCACCCCCCCTCACAAGCTCCATACCCCACAGTGCAGAGAAGTGATT